TCGCCGGGGTTGCGACGTTATACAATTGGATCACAGTCAACACACATATATCGAATACATAATATATTTGAATCAATATTTTACAAACCTTTAAGTTTCAAATTGAAATTACATATTCATATTAAACACACAACGGTAAACAAGTTAAGTCTATTCCCAAAAGAAATGAACTATAATTTTAGAACCGATGTCCTACTCTCCGACTTCTTAGTTACCTGAGAATACACATTTTTAAAATACGTCAACAAAAAATTGTTGGTGAGTTCCACAGGTTTTGACTTCGCGAGCTTTATAAAAAGAAATCTTTATAAAACGTGGAATGTTTAACAAAATAAGTTGTGCAAAAATAATGGTCAACAATGTTACCGATAAGCTTGTGTGAGACCTGATACTTGAAATCCGATACGAGTATCCATGTAAAAATATTTATGATAAAAGTAAATATTAACATATTTTTGTGGAGCAAAATATTAAGTATTTATATAAATAAATACTACCAATCGGTTTAACAATCTACAAACATTATGTATACTACATACTCTCTTTATAAAACGTGAAATGTTTAACAAAATATGTTGGGCAAAACATGATCAACAATGTTTTACTGAGATCGGATACTTGAAATCCAATACGATTATTCATGTTAAAATACTTATGATAAAAGTAAATGTTAACATATTTTTATGAAACAAAATATTTAGTGTTTGTATAAATAGACACTAACAATATGTTTAACAATCTACAAACAATATTTGTACTACATACTCCTTTTATAAAACATGGAATGTTTAACAAAATAAGTTGGACAAAACATGATCAACAATGTTACTGAGACAGGATACTTGAAAATCCAATACGAGTATCCATGTTAAAATATTTATGATAAAAGTAAATACTAACATATTTTTGTGAAGCAAAATATTTAGTGTTGTATAAGTAGACACTAACAATATATTTAACAATCTACAAACAATATTTATACTACATACAAACTCATCATAGTTTGTATTAGTATATTTGTATCCCTGATGTTGTTATAATACTCAATTGTTTGAGTTTGAAGACTTTTTGTTGTAATGCTTAATAATATAAAGCTACCAAAGTTCTATCGGGACAACGGTCGTATGTGTCCTTATACGATCGGGACAACGGTCGTATGTGTCCCAACGAGTTTAAACAATACGTCGACTGTAAGTGACCATAACAATTGTTTAGACAGTACTCCGACTGTAAGTGACCATATATATGTTTAGACAGTACTCCGACTGTAAGTGAATAACAAAGTTTATACAGCACCCCGGCTGTGAGTGACCAAAATCGACATAGTCCAAATCATCACATCTTATGAGGTTTTCAACATGATCATATTAGAAATACTTGTTATAATTACACTTTTGTAACTATTAAAGTATGTGTGAACTAAAGAATATCATAATCGGTGTACTTCTTATTTATCACAACACTTTGTATATATATTTGAAAGTCCAAACAGCAAGATAAATCAAAAAGGGCAATTCTGTCCATGTTCTTAGAAAAATCATAGAAAAATCATCATAAGTCGAAATCTGGATCCGTAAACTCTCAAAGTTTAGAAAATGAGTCTAATTTGTCCATAATTTTTATCCTAAGCTTAAGTGGTTCCCAACCTGAGTGAAAATACTCATTTTTACAGACAGGTCCGAAAATGTTCTGAAATGATAGACAGTTTTGTAAAAATCATTATAAATTGTAGAAAAATCGTATGAATGCGTGCGAGTAGTCCTTAGAAAGGTATTAACATGAACTACTTCCATATTGTACAGTTTTGAAATCCATTGAGTTTAAGGAGGGAAAAACAGTCCGTCAACAGACCATAACTTTACTGTGAAAAGCTGAAATTTGAGCTTAAGTATGTTTAGTGACATAACTTGTATTTTTAGTTAGTAAAGCCTTTAAATCCTTCAACTATAACTTTTTTAGTGTGTATTCTCCCCCAAAACTTGTAAAACATAAAAGAGGGGCCGTAGAAAACTCACTTTTGTCGCGTAGAGTTATTCGGGTTGAGAATGGTTCGTGTGGTTTCCGGTTCCACGCAAGTTTGCGATTCGAGTATTCGTTTGGATGTCTTAACACATAAAGACATATATTTACATGTATTTTAGACTTTTATCATTTCATAAATCATTTAAAATCAGTGGGTTGGATGATAAAAAGAAAGAGTAGAAATCAAGAATATACCTAGCTTCAACTTGGATCAAAAGTATGTTGCCAAAAGGTGGTGCAATAACACAAGCTTTTAGAGAGGTAAAGGGTAACTTTCTTAGGGGTTTTAAGTGTTTGAAAGTAGCTACATATGGTCTACTTTGAATCTCGAAAATGGGTAGAAAAATGGAGGACTTTTGGGTGTTAGTTTGATGCTCGAAAAGAGCTATTGTTTTGGCTATGTTGCTGTCACGAAAATTTCACAGCAAAAGGGTAAGATAAGAATAGTTTAGCCACTGATTTGAGTCCCTAATTTAGAGTAGAAAACAACTAACTTCCAGAGGTATTTGGTGGTGAAAATATCAAGCAAAAGGAAGGTGTAGATGGGTGAAATGGTGCTGAAACACCAAGGGACAGCAACCCCTTTAAGGTTCACGGTTTTGTGGAGTTGGAAGGAAATTTGTGTGGTTGAAAATGGGATGAACTTTGGAGCTTTTCCCTGGATTATTTGCTGGAGAATGGAAGGAGAAATGAGGAGATATTTCCAGATTATGAATGAGGAGAGAGGATAAGAAGAGAAGAAGATAAGATGGAATCAATTAGGCTAGATTGTGATGGAATGGGTAAATGATGAGATTTGATCTCCTAGCCCACTTGGTCTCCTAGTTGGTTAAAGATAGAATTAGTTAATTAACTAACTATTAGTTACTTAGTTATTTAGAGGTTCTAGTGATGGATATGGAAGATGTTAATCTCTAAAATTAGAAGAGGGATTAAGAAGTATTCTTAGTAAAATCTCTTAAGTGATTAAGCACTTATTAGTTAAGTTGGCACTTATCTCAACCATTTCTCTTATATTAATTGATTTAGGCATCATATTCCTTATATAAAATCACTTTAAGTCATAACCCATAACTACTCATCTACTACATAATAATACATATGTACAAATACATACCTGTATACTTAGTATAAAATAACAATGTAGTTTTTGTGTATTTGAACTTAAATGTTTATGTTTTATTATTTTTATTCAAAAACACTTAAATACATTATAATTATGCCTTATAATAATTCATTTTATATTTTTATTTATTTAAATATAAAATTTATTGACCAAGGTATAATTTCGCGATATTTAACCGTTTAACGGTATCGTTAAACACGTTTTGTCACTTTGGTTCGTATATTTGTCAAATTTAGATCCTTCACAACTACTAAGCACAAGTTTTACACAAAACTTAACTTACTTATCAAATAGAGACATGTTGATACAAAAATTAAGTTTGTTGTATTCAAATGACGTTATATGCTAATTTTCACAAAACAGTGATGGTTCGTAGTCATACATCGTAACGGAATTTATCATGAGTTACTTGTTTTATATTTCACAAGAACTTATCAAATTTAAAATATGTTCAATTCCTTCAACCAATTGTGGTAAAATATTTATATTGCATAATAATAAAAACATAGCACTGTACGGTCGTTCCTATTTTTACCAATTGTTACATCCATAAAGGTGAGTTTTACGGCCCAAGCATGTTCTTGGGCAGTAAATTCATGTTTACTCTCCAAAAATTCATTTCAAGGTGTTCTAAGTCTAGTATATTAAGTCATATAGCCATATCTAAGCTCCAAAGGTCGATTGGAAGGGTTTAAAGGCTCAAAACCCCTTATATGTGTGTTTACGGCCCAAGCATGTTCCAGGGCCGTAAACACATGAAAATGGTGCTAATTTATTGTTTAACCACGAATTTGAAGGTCTAAGATACTAATCTATGAGTTAGGGAAGTTACCTTAGTGATTTGAAGCTTGAAAAGTGTGATTTTTGGACCTAAATCTTGGATTGAGGAGAGAGGTTAGAGAGAGAGAGAGAGTGAAAAAGTGTTCAAATGAGGCTTAAACCACTTTATATATGGTTTGGATTTGAGACACGGTGGAATTCTACTAACCGAGGCTTTTGGTCGCACCGGATTAAGTTGGCGTCACCCGATGTGGTTAAAACTAAAGTTTGTCTAATTACTAGTTTGAGACGTTTTCTTGTGTTTTTAACATGTTTGGATACTTACAAAGTCAAAATAATAGTCTTAATTTAATTGACCTAATCCAAAAATGGAAACAGAATAATTCGTTTAAGACGAGTTTTACGGACGGAACGGGTTGTAGCGATGGAACAACTTCAGGTTGTCACACCACCAATCCATCGTAACTAGGACACTTAGATTTCTCAGTAGAACCTAAGATGTTACCAGCGACAACAGGATCACGTCCCAACCCGAACAAACGAACAGAGCTTCGTCCAAGTACCTTCTCTAGAATTAACTTGTCACTCATTGATTCCAAGGAATGCTCGTTTCTCATCTTTTTCATTTCTTCCTATTAGCATATAAAAATAAGATGAGTACATTAAATAAATTATTTACCAAATAATATATAGTCAACGGTAGAAATGAGCAAGTACACTTACATATTTTGCAACCATATCTGTAGATTTCCAACCTTTTTCTTCATCCCAATGTGTAAGCCGCCAAGTCTCAAAATGACCCGATGAAGAATCCACATCATGTCCAAGCTCAACATGATAGCATATTGTACTCTTCGACCCATTTCTTGTCTCCATTTTACGCTTTCCGCGAGCAACAACCTTCTTTTTTGCAATTTCCTTCAAGGACATACAACCAAATAATACTAACAAATATTATACTCAATTCAACAATATTAATTAATTCAATAACTCAAATAATTTTTAAACATTACCATGTATTTTGGCTCACACTACATGTCACATAGATACTCCCAGTCTTCTTTGCTACGAATATCTGAAGGGGGTTTAGTCTTTGCCTTAATTGGGTCTTTTGGCCCTCCAATCTCTTTAAAGTATTTATGCAACTCAACTCGAAAATTTCTCCATGACCTTGCCATGTAGCTATCGATAACTTTGCAAACATTCTCATTTTCCACATCAATATCAAAAAGCGTATTTAAATAACAAACACAATTAACTAGTTAGTAATGAAGATGTTAAAGTGATACTAAAAAAATCTTACAGTTAGCTTGTGGTGTAATGGAAACTTCTCTTCCTTCGGTACAAGCCTCCACTCTTTGTGTTGTAGGCTACAGTTTTTACGTAAAATATAGCCACACTCATATGTGAAAGCTGATTCATTGTTACATATTACTCGCCTTGCTAAAAAATTAAATTCTACATGCAATCTCTTCTTAGACGCTTTCATTGCCTTTCGAGCACCTTTGCCACAAGTGATGCCACGCTTTGCAATTGTAGCATTACTATCACTTTCTTGCTCGGTCTAAAAAATTGTGTCTATAAGCAAGTACAAGTAGATTTACATTAACAATATCACATACTACAATATATTAACAAGTGATTTAAACATACTAACCCGATTGTTGCTCTCTTTGATATTGTTCAACATTAGTAACTACTTTTGTTGAAGATGGGTCTGTTTAAAAAATTGAAAATGTAGTAAGGATTAACATCATAAGATTAAGAGAAATGACAAAAAAAGTTCTTACTTTTACCCGAGATTGGAGATATTAGATCCGGCCGATTGTTTGAGATTAAGGGGTTTGTATCTGGTGATAGTGGTAATCAAAGTAATTAATAGAAAAAAGAAAAGAATTATTGGTTAAGGGGTTTGCATGTTTTAAAAAAAACTACATAAATGACCCATGTTTTAAAAAACTACATAAAGGTCCTTGTTTTTTTTTAAAAAAAAACTACATAAATGATTCATGTCTTAAAAAAGTGCATTAATGGTCTCTATTTTTAAAATAATATTACATTAATATTCCTTGTTTACAAAAACTGCATTAATTGTCATGTTTATAAAAAACTTCATAAATGATCCTTGTCTAAAAAATCTACATTAATGATTCTGTATAAAAAACTACATAAATGGTCCCTATTTTTTTCATAAATAAAAATATACCTTTTTTTAATCTAAAATATTGATTTATGAAAATATATCAAAATCTTACCCGGAACTGATGTGTTGTAGGGAGTGGTACGTAGTCCATCTTCTCTTCCTAGTCCACCTCGTTTACCGTGTCCACCTCTTTTTGACATTATGCTTTTTGCAACTATAAAAAACACATTTATAAGTCAATACGATAATACTAAATTTAGCAGAAAAAAGCTTTCTGTAACTATAAAAAACATATTTATAACTCAACATGATAACACTAAATTTACCAATTTTTTTTTTTTTTTTTGCAACTATAAAAAACACATTTATAACTCAACACGATAAGGTGAACACCAAAGAGATTGGTATTGAACACCAAAGAGATTGCCAATGAGATCGCCAATGCATATTATAAGGCGTATTAAGTTTTTTAACATATCTTTATAGTTTCAGGAGAGGTATTGAACACCAAAGAGATTGCCAATGCAGATTATAAGGTGAAACTATAGATTCTTTAATGTAGTGTTTCTTACTTATGCTATTTTTTATACAGGCTCCCCAATAAACAAAGAATAATCAGGTAATTTTTTTAGCAACTTTAGGTGAAGTATGGTTGATCATTCTCATATCATTTTTTATAGCAAAGAGCTAAAACTGCATATTTAAAGGGCTACATTATTTCTCATTAGACAAACTTGAAATTATTAATCTTATCAAATAATCTTATAAATTAGGAGTTAACACCATGATAATGGGTTAATTAATTTTAAAGCGTTTCGTGGTTTTCTTATGCTATATTGCAGGAGCTATTTTCTAAATACAATAGCTTGGCTATAGACATGTGGTTGATTCTTATGTCATCTCATTCTTAGTTTAGTATATCGTTGAACAGTGAACAAAGCCACAAAAAAGTGATATTCTAAAAAGCTTTGTATTCAAAGGTTCAATGCATAGGAATAGAGCCTTCGTAAACTGATTGTCTGTGATTATTATGTTGACATTTTTATATTGACTCAATTTATTCATTGTTGATTTTGTATCATGTATTGAAGGTATATGTATTAATACGATCTATTTCTTTTAATATGGTCAGAAAAAAGTGAATAATATTTTATCCTTATTATACAATACGGTTGTTTGACGGTATTATATTTAGATTTTTGTAGTAGTGAAAGTAACAACAAAATCAAAGAATTATATGCAGTAAACAAGTTCATATGGAAAAAAAATGAGAAACAAGAAAGTAAGGAAAAGAACCTGAACAGATAGACTGGACTATGGAGCAGAAATCGATGATCAATGGAGAAGGAATACAAGGGTGTTGATGCAGGATATGAAACAAGAAGTAATTAATTAGTTTGATAGAGTATTTGATTACATCAATAGAAGATCAAACAATCAATTTTTACCTGAAGCCTTTGTCGCACCTTGTTCCGTCGATGCTTCCCCTGCGTATTAGGGTTTTGTCGATCGTTTGTGGAACAATGTCAACATAACAACATACATAGAAAACTATAAAACCCATGATTCGTGATTTTCGGATGTGATCCCGGTTTCAATGCTTCCGATTGTTCTGAAGATACTTGATTGATTCAATCCTAGTATGCATTTTTGTTTTATTTCAACGTTATTTTTTTCTATTTTGTTTTACTTTAGTTTTTTTTACCACATGGAATTTTTCATTAATTAATTTCTTTTTACTTTTTGATTTTGAATAATTTTATTTCTTTTATAACAACTTATGCAAATGGTATTTCGTAGTTAAAAAATAGATTTCGTCAATGGTTTTCAATTATCCATTTATATTTTTGATTTTCAATTACTTGATTTATAATTTTTAGTTTCAAATTAAGTTATTTAAAAAGGAGATTTATATCCAATAAATGTTAATGGTATATATATATATATATATATATATATATATATATATATATATATACACTTTAGTTTTTTTTTTTTTTTTTTTTGAAAATATGTGTGCCTATATCAATCAACAATTTTGGAGGGAAATTTCCCTGAAAAAACATAAAAATTTCTTGCTAAACAATTTTACCTACACATGTTAATTGTTGATTTCTATAAAAAAAAATATTAAAAAATATCAACACATATAGATAATATATGTAGGTATTTGATTTGCCTAATATATTTGCCTACACATAAAATATGTGAAGGTATTTTATTTTCTACTTATTTATGAATAAGAATTGTCTAATATATTTACCTACACATAAAATATGTGTAGATATTTGATTTACCATGTCATTTATGAAATAATAATAATAATAACAATTGCCTAATACATTTACCTACACATAAATATATAGATGTTATGTGTTGATATTTACTTTGCCACGTCATTTATTTAAATATTATATATTATTATTAGTTAATTTATTTATCTACATATGTGTGAAATAAAATTATGTGTTGGTAATATCAAATGAATCACCTACACATCGATTTCATATATATATATATATATATATATATATATATATATATATATATATATATATATATATATATATATGTAGGCATATTACCTACACATAAGGAAAATTTTTAATATGTGTGGGTAATTTCACATTCCGTAAATCGCAAATTTTAGAGGGAAACGTTTCCCCCCAAATTAAATGTTAATATGGGTAATTCTCTACACATATTAAGTGTCGTTCGATATGAAAAACTATATGTTTAATTACCCACACATATGCAAAATATGTGGTGATATTTACTTACACATAACATATGTAGGTAATTTATGTGTAGGTAAACACCCTAATTTCTTATATATATAAAATGTTGTACCTCTTAATTTAAGATCACATGCTATATTTGTTGTACATTATGCTTGATAAATTGTCTTTAAGACTTTAATTATATATGCTTTATAAGATAGTAATATATATATATATATATATATATATATATATATATATATATATATATATATATATATATATATATATATATATATATAGTAAGGATCATTTGAAAACTCATAGTTTCTCGAGAACCCGAGAATTAAAAGTAGAACGTTGGATCAAAAAAAGGGATGGCCAAGATGCATTGTGACATTTTTGTAAATAAGTGGAAAAATAAAGGGATAGGGGCATAGAAATTAAATGACATTAGGGCATTTTAGGGTTATAGAAATTAACTCCTTACACACAGCTATGATCACCATTCCTCATCAGATCTCTCTATCTCTTCTCCCTCCCACATCTCCTATATCTCCACCGTATCTCTTCCCTTCCATGTAATACTATATTTACGTATGAAGATACCATCTAATATTCTTAAATGAATATACCATCTTATATTCACAAGTGAATATACTATGTAATATTCAAAAATGAATGTATCGTCTAATATTTAAATATGAATATACTATATCATATTTACAAGTGAATATGCTATATAATATTCGTATGTGAATATACATTGTAATATTCATGAATGAATATACCATACAATATTTAGATGTGACTAGAAGGTGTAATATTCACAAGTAAATATACCATATGATATTCACATGTGAATGTACCATATAATATTCATATGTGTATATACCTTGTAAATTCATATGTGAATATACCATGGAATATCATATGTGAATATACAACATAAACAACATATATCATATAGTATTCACATATGATTATACCTTCACGTGTGAATATACCATGTGATAAATAGAATGCAATAAATCGCTATTATTATGAACTAACAATATTTGTTTACA